CGCTTATAGCAGCCGCTTCAGAAACGGGCAGCGCTGAGGCGGGCCGGGCAGAAGCGCCAGGTAGAGCCGCGGGTGCAGGAGAGGGTGTGCGGCACCGCGTACAGCACCGCGCGTGGGCCACCGCGTACAGAGCCGGGTGCGGCACCGCCTAGAGAGCTGTGTGTGCAGTACCGGGTACAGCACCGCGCGTGTGGCACCGCGTACAGAGCGGGGTGCAGCACGGCGTAGGGAGCTGCGTTCAGCTTTACGTAAAGAACCGCCTGAAGCAGCGCGTATGGCAACGGGTACAAAACCGGGTACAGCTCCGGGTACGGTACCGGATACAGCTTCGGATACAGAATCGGATGCAACTCCGGGAACAGCATCGCGCACAGCAGCGAACACAGCAGCGCGCAGCGGGCAGCACCGAGGCGCGCCGAACCGCGTGCAGCACTGCGCGTCGCCCCGTAGCGCACTGCACCGCGCACCGATCCGCGCAGCGTCCCGCAGCGCCGCGATGCTGCCCGGCGGGACCGCGCGGCACACGGCGCCGAGCGCCGCCACAGCAGGTAAGGGCGGATCCGCGGGAACGGCGGTGGCGGGAAGCGGGAGCGGGAGCAGGAGCGGGGAGGGGGCCCCGGCGGCCGCGCCGCGCGTCAGCACCGCGGCAGGGACCAGCGGCCGAGTGGGGGGAGCGCAGGGGAGCGCGGGCCCCGGGCGGCGGGAGGGGATCGGAGCCCCTGGGCGGGGTGTCGGGAGAGGGTGGATACGATCGGGGAAAAGGCTTAGGAGGCAGATTTGAAAATAGCTCTAAAAATAAATCCCAGGAAAGAGAAAAATTAAACCCTGAAAATCTTTATTTCTATAGATTTATTTTTAAAATATATTATAAAATAATTATATCTTAGGCCCTTCAAAAGGTTAAAACCAAAAAAGATTTCCTCTAGAATAGTTTTGACAAGAATCCTGAAAATCCTCGTCCCTGTAAATATATTATATCTCCCCAAATTAACGAGAACGAACACAAGAGCTTGCTGAAATTATCGGTCCATGCAGAAACTTCCACCCAGAAAAAATCTTCTCTGGAGGCAAATGAACAACGCGGGGGGGGCAGCGCAGAAGGTGGCACGGGGATTGTGCGGGTGGCCCTGATGCTGAGCCCCATCTTGCTGTGCTCTGCAGATCAGGAAGTGGTGGCTGAGTGTGCGGAGCAGCTGCGCCGCATCGGCGATGAGTGGAACCTGCGCCAGAGGCTCCTCAACCTCCTCATGAAGCTCATGTGCTTGGAGAGATGGACGGCGGACGGTGGGGTGTGCACGACGCCAGGGCTGTCGCAGCTGGGGCGAAAGCCTTGACTTACACTGGGGACATGGAGCGAAATCTCTTTGCCACTGCATTTCACTGCCTCTAGCTGCTGAAGGAAGGTCGGAGCGAGAGACTTGACTTACACTGGAGACATGGAGCGAAATCTCTTTGCCGCTGCATTTTACTGCCTCGAGCTGCTGAAGGAAGGTCACTATACCGGATGCCTTTGGAGCCTTCTGCAGCTATCCCCCATCCTCATGTAGACATGGGAACAACAGGTGGAAAGCCAGAGCATGCCATGTGGAGCACCTGACATGGGGGCCCTAACATGGGGGCACGGCCAGGAAGTATTGGAAGGCGCCCGCCTTGCGGGAGAAGGGATCATGCAGCGCGGGGTGAGAGTCGGGCGCCGCATTTGCAGCCGTTCTCCTGTCCCGAGGCACCGGTTCTGCTGGCCGAGATGTGGTGCTGGGATTGCTTCATGCCTTGAACCAGAAATACTCTTTATTGAAAGCCAATTGGATACAAATTTTCCCTTCACCCAGTAATAATTATGGTTCCTGGGATTAAACAGGGTGCTGCATAATTCTAGTCCTTATTATATATTACATATTTTATATATAAGTATATATTTACATGTACACATTATTTATATATATGCCCCCCAGTTGTATGAAGTGAGTGTTTCACGGAACTACTGAGTGGATGTTACATGTGGATGCTCAAAAAGCAGTATGAAGAGCCGTTCAAATCACTACCAAACTGAGTCCCATTAACTAAAAGTAAGCCTAGTGCTTTCTGACTGTAATGGAAATAATCCCATCATGCTTCCCAGCTCCCATCCCTGAGGTCAGCATTTAGACCATACCATTGAATATAATGAAAAGGGATATATATATATGTAGGTATATCCTATACAGAGAAATACGGGTATTAGCAGATGTGCATGTGCTGGAAGGATTCTTTTGAAATTAGTTGAATGTGAGGTTTTCATGAGAACATTATCTTTCTAAAAGGAAGCAACTAGCTGTCATAATAGAAAGAATGTTCACTGAAACTGAATGTTCCAGTTCATTTAAGAAGATAGTCCTTGGATTTCTGAACAGACTAGGTATTTTCCGCCTGTCCCGCTGAACGGTCGCGTTCAGCTACCTTGGAAGGAGCAGCACTGAGTTTGCTGCAAAGCAAAGAGCAACGCTCCTGGTCCCCAATGTCAGGTGTGTGTGTGAGACTAAGCTGTGCTTTTCAGGCAGGAAAATGGCTGTTACTGAACAGCATTTCTGGTGGCCATCGAATCAGTGCATAGACGTTTCCTAAATCAACAACTCTTTTAGGTTATTTAGTGGGAAGGGTAGCTTGAAGTCACATTCTCGCTGCTCTTACCACTCCCTACATTGCTCTGTAAATACTTCTGTATCTTATAGTGGGGCCTATTTGGATTTCCTGAAGTCTGGGTCACTTCACATTGAAATTGCTGACATGTACAGCAGAGTGTTTTGGGGTATTTGAAAGTAAATGCAAAGTTGCTGTTAGCTATTACATTACGTTACAATACATAGCATTAGATAAATTCATTCCGAAGGCTTATAGAAGTGGCCATTGATGGGGATTGCACATTCATCATAAGGAGTTAGTGTGGCTGCAGGCAGAAGGGAACACAGAGCGTTTGCCAAATCTGCTGGGCTCGGTGGAGGTCCCTAGTGCTTTCTGAGTCTGCAGGAAGCTGGACACAGATTAGGCCCAACTGGGGTCCTCAGGAACATTCAGCATTACAAGGCACATTAATACAAAGTCACTCATACTCTCCTATTCAAATGTCCTTGAAAGAATGTGTTCTGCTCCATGCACACTGCTGTACAATTCAAGAATCTGGAAGCTTGGTGTGAGGCTCTTAGAGCCCTTAGGAGGATTTTAAGCTGTAGCAGGGATTAATGTTGTGAAACTTTGCGGAATGCCTTATCTGAGTTGATTAGTAGTGCAGTATTTTTTGTGCTTCGGTCTGGGAGGACTGTTTCTTTTCCATGAAGAGTTTCTCACCTTGATCTCAAAAAAGAAGACCGAGATCCAAGCAACCTCAGCTTGGATCCTAGCAACCAATGCCAGTGGATGAGCCTGAGTGTGACGATGTGTTACGTCTCCAAATGATTTGCTGTATGGTTGTATCAACCGCTCCTTGTTCTCTTTAAGGCCTCTTGGATCCGTGCCAGATATTTCATTGTATGCAGGCTGCACGTGCGTCTTGAATTGTTGTTGAGCTAATAAATATGATGTGCTGGCAAAGAAAATAACTCACTGCTCTTATAGCTCTAATTTTAAGTGGTCTTAGTTAAAATTTATTAGCTATAACCATTACAATATCTAATATATACAAATTGCTATGACATACCATTAAATAAATTCATTCCAAAGGCTTACAGAAGTGGCCATTGATGGGGACTACACTTTCATCGCAAGGAGTTACTGTGGCTGCAGCAGAAGGGAACACAGAGCGTTTGCCAAGGTGAGGTTTTGTCTTTCTCCAAAGCATTTAGGAGCTGAACCGTAAGCAGGGGACAATTCTGTGACTCACCACGAGGGACAAGCAAAGGGATCACGCAGCAGTTATTCTCACTTGATCAAATCTTGTCCTAAGGAAGTGTCTATGGAGAGAAGGGCTTGAGGACGTTGCCAGCTGCTTCTCACCACCATTCTCAGGACCTGGTGCTACCTCTGCCCTTGTCACCAACAGGCAGCAGCACTGTGGGGACACATGTTCCCAGAGTGCAGAGGACAGAAAGCTTCCTTGCCAAAGGTTCAGGTTTTCAGCAGATGGAAAAACAAATCAGAGCAAAACAAGTCCCTATCTCTTCCCACGCCTGCTCCATTGGCTGCCAGTTGAGGCTTTGAGGAATTTCCCTTTCAGAGACAGCAGTAAACAAGCCTACAGGAGTCCACCAGACTGGTGCCGCGTGGCACTGCAAGTGCATTTTTGCACATTCGCAACAGGAAACAAATGGCAATGCCAATCTCCACAATCTTGGAAGACGTTCAAAGACACCCTCCAAAGACCCACAGCCCAGCACAGCACCAAAGGGAAAAGCCAAAGTAGCCGTGGAGTGGACGGCCAGCTTCCCACCCTTCAGCGCTTCCCTCCACCCTGGGCCCACAGGCACCAGCCCCACCAGCCATGCAGCTCCATCACTGCCATGCCACGGTCCCTGAGGCGAGAGTGTAGCCTCTCCCTGAGACGTGCTGCACACACAGCATTTCGTGAGCGCACGGCAATGTGGCAGCTCCCTCCTGTTCCCTGCAGGATTTTTGGCTTCTTTGGAAGTGAAGTGAAAAGTGGTGACTCACATGCAGACAATTCTGCTTAGCACATAGGGCTGAGATGGACTCGCCTATGGCAGCACCTGACATGGCATCGAGAGCACCTGGAGGTCCCCAAGGCCACCAGACAGGAAAGGCTCAAGGATATGACACGACTACGTCTCAGTCTCCACGAGGCAGGTGACAGTCTGATGACTCAGCTGCTGCCGAGCGATAGCCCTGGCAGTCGGCGCGGCTAAACACGGAGTGGGTCTGGGTCTCCCTTGAGGAGAGCTTTGGGTTTGTTCCCAGCAACACTGCTCATCCCTGCTTCCACAGGTCTCCCATGCCTCTTTCCTTGTAAAACACCAGCCTTCAGGAGACAGCCGGCATCATAACACTTGAAAGAAAATGGCTCCCTCTAATTCCACTGTGTATGGTTAGGCAGAAGATGGGGTACATAGGTCCCATCTGGAGCTGACCCTCCCACTGCCTTCATCACAGGCTCCTTGGGCTTTTGGTTTGGTCTGCACTGGAGCACTCTGCCTGTGTTGAGGTCCCCATTGGCAGTTCCTACTTTTGCACCGACACAAGAGTGCCCAGCGGCCTATCGGGGATAAGGTAGGAGATTCCTCCTCTCGTACCTTCTCTCCGTGTTCCACAGGGATGCGTTCAAGTTGCCGCAGAGGCACCGAGGCACCGCAAAATCGATTTAGTTTCCCTGGCTGCCGCACACCCTCTCCTCTTTCCTCCTGTCTGCTGAATCACACCAGCTATTTAAAACGAAAGTAGTGACGGTCCTTCCCGCAGCTAATGAAATGTGCATTAACCCCTTCCCTCACCGTAGTGGGAGTATCAGAAACTCAGCAGCAGCAACCAAAGCTTTGCTTCAGCTACTGCAAGAAAAGCACGAATGCAGAGCAAAGCCATTTCCTTGAGAAGTGAAGCTCATGCTTCTATTGCTTCAGGCTCGGAAATTACTCTCTTTTTTTTTCTTTTTACTTGAGCCAGCAGGAGAAAAAGAAAAAAAAAAAAAAAAGAAGACCCTCTGAATGGTACGGGAGAAGACCAAACAATGGCTGAAAAGCCACGCGGAGCTAAGAAACGCCAAAGAGAATTAGTCCTGCAGAGGCTGACACGCTGCCAGGGCGGTTACGGTGCCCGCACTTAGGACCTGCCTTGCTTTGCTGGCGTGGCCTTCAGCATGCGCTTTGTGCACAGAGCTGCATTTCCTGCCTGCGCGTCCCGAGTTGGAACGATCATTGGGAACAGCCAGCTCTGCCGTGTGCAGAAACGGGAAAATGGAAAGAGGTTTCTCAGAGACCACAAAGCTGCTGGTAGCGGATAGTACTGGGAAAAGCAGGAAAAAAAAACCTTATTAAGGAAGGCATGACAGAAAATTTACTCAACATCTTATAGGGAGATATAAAAAAAGAACTTGAAGTTGATTCAGCAAAAATAATAGAGTGCAGGAAAAAAAAGAAGAGGGAGTAAAAATAATATTTTTTCCTTCATTTTCTTTCTTGCTTATTCTCGTTTTTGTCTTTGCAAATTGGATTTCCTCACTGCCGGGTTGCTGCTCTGAGCCACCTTGCCGTGACACTGAGAAAGCTCCGCTCTCTTTTCTCAACTTGCTTCTCTTCTCAGCACTGCAATCTCATGGACTTTAAGCGATCTTGCGCCAATAGAAACCGCGAGAGGTGGTTGAAGGAGCCGTGTCTTGCAGCTCCTTGTACGTCCATTCTCAAAGGGAGCAGAGGGG